GAGAGAGAAACAGCAATGATGAGTCATTGGTCAGCTGCCTCCTGCACGCCCCCAACTGGGGATCGAGCCCTCACCCTTGACATGTGTCCTGACCAGGAATCGAACTGTGACCTCCTGGTTCCTGGGTTGATGCTCAGCCACTGAGCCACGCCAGCTGGGCAAACGTCCAGCCTTTTCCCAAAGTCTCTGTGGCCCTTAGCTCAGCAGCCCTGGGCAAAGTGCCTATAGATCTTTCAAAAGGTGTATCACCCCCAGGGCACAGGATGGTGGGAGGGCTTAGGACGGAGAGCAGCTTCCCTTCCTCCCCCCTCCTCCCCCCTCCTTTCTTTGACTCCACTGTTCTCTAGGCTGTTGGGCCAGTTTCTTGTCTGGGGTGGGAGACCCCTGGGCTGTCATTCCTGCTGAGAGACTCACTGGTGGTTGAGACAAACTTCCCCTGGTGCTGGCACTGAATGGGTCACACCTTCCTTGGGCGTTGAGGTGTGTGTGTATGTGAGTTGATCTTTGTGGGATGCTCGGGACAGACCCTCTCCTGTGCTCGTCAGGTGTCCCTGCTCTCTGTGCCTGTCCCGGTGGTCCCTGTGCTTGTCCTTTCACCTGTCTGCTTCATGTGCCTGTCCCACCCTCTGCACTGTGTCTTGTCTGAATGGGCCTCACCTGGGGGCCGCTGAGAGGAGAGGCCATGGGGGAGTGGGCAGCAGTCCCCACCTTGTGCATGGACCCCACTATTCATAGCTGGCTTGGAGGCCAAGGCAGAGAGATGGAGACAGGCTCTCACCCAGGCCACGAGTGACCTGGGGACACACCGAGTCCTTGCCGAAAAAAGGGAAAAGTTGGGCAGGATCTCCTGCTGGGTGTGGGGAAGTAGCCTGTCCCAGCTCCAGAGGGGACCCTGTCCTGAGCCCCCAGGAACAGCACTGTGGTGGGTTTGCACTGACTGAGGCAAGAGTGTGGGGCCTGTGGAGAGGTTGTCACCATTTGGGGCTGCAGGGGAGGGCGTGCTCTTCCTGGAGGGGGCACTGTGTGATCCGTAGATTCAGGTCCAGCCCCAGCTGCAGTCCTGCCCTGTTTCAGACGTCTTGACGTGGTGCCCAGGAGGTTGGGATCCACAAAGTTTGGTTGTGGTGTTGGTCTTTCTTTTTTTTTTTCCTTTTTTTAAAAAGTTTTTATTGATTTTTAGAGAGAGAGGAAGGGAGAGAAACATCAATCGGCTGCCTCCTGCACGCCCCCTACTGGGGATCGAGCCCACAACCCTGGCATGTGCCCCTGACTCGGAATCAAATTGGTGACCTCTTGGTTCCTGGGTCGATGCTCAACCATTGAGCCACACCGGTCGGGCATGTTGGCCTTTCTTGGTGGCACTAAAGTGTGTTGACATAAGAATGTCCAAACTTGTAATGAATTTATAGGAGTTAATTTGAGCCAAATCAAGGACATTGCCGGGGGCCGATCTCAGGTGCTCCTGAGAACAGCCTTCCCACCCCTTCTTTCAGAATGAAGAGGAGACCGGGGGAAGGTTCCGTGGAGGGGGGAGAGGGCAAGGCGGGGACTGGGTTACAGGACTGGTGACAAGATTATTTTCTCTCCTGAGGGTGGCTCCACTTGTTATCCTAGATGCACAGAAACAACGGACAGGGCTTGCTCAAGGCAAAGACAAGCCTTTTACGAAAGAAGTTAGAGGCCTGGGTCCTGACCACTGCCATGACCTGCCCAGTTGGGGATATATGGTCAGATCAGCCTGTGGAGCTACTTTCCACAGAACCCCTGTTTTTAGTCCCCAAGTGGCAGTGTGGTCTCAGGGGCTTGCCTGTAGGAAGGGACCCTGGCAGTCAGGAACGAGGGTCCAGCAGCTGAGAGCTCTGAGCACTGAATGATGAACCGTGGGTGTGGCGGGCGGACGTCCTGCACTGCCTGGGCTTCAGGGCCCTTGGTCATTCCTCCTTGCAGTGCCTTAGCCCCCAGCAGGCAGCCAGACATGGGTGGGGAGGGAAGCCTCCTGCAAATGGGCCACCAGGGCTCATAGGGTCAGAAGGGTCCCCTCGCACTTTGGGAGCCAGCTTTTCTATGCCAGGCTGCTGTCCCTGTGCCCAGGGGCTGGGCTGTGGGGTGCAGGCCGAGGGGCCCAGAAGTGTCAGCAGTGCCTAGAGACACCCACATGGCAGGGTCAGACCTGTGTCCCTACCTGCAAACTGATGCCACCTCTGTTTTGTCCCCCTCTGGGATCCCTGGGCGTAAACCACATGGCCTCTGCAGCCAGAGAACCTGCTCCTGGCCAGCAAGTGCAAGGGGGCCGCAGTGAAGCTCGCAGACTTTGGCCTGGCTATCGAGGTGCAGGGGGACCAGCAGGCATGGTTTGGTGAGCACCCTGGCTGGTGGAAGGGGCAGGGAGAGGGGTCAGCTGCCCCCAAGCCCTCACACCACCCATCCCCTCTCACTAGGGTTCGCTGGCACGCCGGGCTACCTGTCTCCAGAGGTCCTGCGCAAGGAAGCCTACGGCAAGCCAGTGGATATCTGGGCATGCGGTAAGGCCAGAACGGGGCAGGTGGGGCGGCCGTGGAGAGAACATACGAGGCTCCCCTGGGGCTGCCCCAGCCAGGAACCCCTCCCATCCCGACTAGACCTGTGACCCTGGCTGTTGCTGAGCTTGCCACCCCATGCCCCCTGCATTCAGCAGCCACAGGTGCTAGGGGCGAGGACTGTGCAGACCACCCTGTGAAGTAGGGTGAGGGTGGGGCAGAGGTGACAGGCTGTGGATCATGTTCTGCCAATGNGGGGGTGGGGACTGTGCAGACCACCCTGTGAAGTAGGGTGAGGGTGGGGCAGAGGTGACAGGCTGTGGATCATGTTCTGCCAATGTGAGGGTCTCCAGATAATGATACTCGCTGATACTGGCTCCTCCGGTTAGGGGAGCTCAGGACCCCGGTGCCTTCCTAGGGCTCCCTGGCTTCAGGCAGGAACCACATCTTAGCGGAACTGAGGGTTCTATAGTTGTTGAGCTGGGCATCTGATCCCTGCCAGCCACACACTTGACACCTCCTGGTGGTGCCCACCTGCTGGCACTAGTCTCCGTGGGGTGCTGGTACGGGGTGGGGCTGGGCGTGGGCAGCGACGTGAGCCCCTGCCTCCCTCCCAGGGGTGATCCTGTACATCCTGCTGGTGGGCTACCCCCCCTTCTGGGATGAAGACCAGCACAAGCTGTACCAGCAGATCAAGGCTGGCGCCTATGACGTGAGTGCCCGCCCTCCC